TACGTTGGATTTCTCGCAACTAGCTGACCATCATCCGCAACAACGCCCACGGGAGATTATTTACTTTCCTCGCAATCATACGAGCTTCAAAGCCCGTGCAATTTCCTCTACAATCTTATCTTATTTTGTTTACACTCTCGATAGATTTCAGCCGTCGAAAGACAAGTTGAGTAATGTTCGATGGAAAACACTGACTGGGAATCCACGACTAGGCAGAGGCGAAACACGCGATAATGTTTAAATAAAACGACTCTTTCTCATGGTAAGCATTGTTTGCGCCACCTGGCGAAGGTAGAACGAAGGCTTGGTCGGTTAGGTCTGGGTTAGAGCACCGTTCGACGACGAAGAAAAATCGTTGAGAAAAACACGGGACGTCGTTGGTCGTATCGAAGCGTCGCTTCCATCCTGACCACGAAAAACAGCACAGACTCTCGAACGTGCTCACTTTCACTGAATAACGCGAAGCTACGGAAATGCCTGAAGAAACGAGGATACGCGCTCGATCATCCGGTACTCCGACAAAACCGACATACGAGAACCCCCCCCTGAAACACTCGGGACGCGAATGCCGTAGTTGAAACGGGCCCAGGTCTCTCGACCCGGGTCCTACGATGTGCCAGGGCTGTACTTGGTTCAACCAAGTCCTGCCCCTTAACGCGTTAAGCACCGAGTCCACTTTGTTTCCTTTTCTATTCGCGTCAGTGTATGCGGCGAGAGCCACATAGGGACGTGGTACGTATGTTATTGCAGCCTGTATTCCAGTGTTGTTGAAAACAATTCTCTTCTAGCCGTAACAGCGACAATATTGACAGAAGACTCGAGCGAGATTAGTTATCCTAAAAATTCTTCGGCGTAATAAATAAAAGAATCTTTGAAATTAGAAGATTGTTCTTTTCTCCAAAGTACTCGAAAGACGCTTCTACCGTCCCTGTGTTTCGACCATTTGGATCCGAACCACGAGTCAACCCTCCCCCCCCCTCCTCCCCTTCACCGCGAAACCGTGAATGTGGTAGACGGGAGTAGGGCCCAGGTAAGTACATTGCCCCACTCCCTAGCAGAGAGCCAGGGCTATGCCAAGTTTCCTCAGCGCCTCTCCCTGAGCTCAAGGAACTCTCGGCTTCGTACCCCGTAAAACCGGTTTGCCCCACGATTATGCGATCCGCAACGGAGTCTGAGAGACTTGGACGAACCACGAGCGAATTAATGTCGAACCGTCCTGGAATCTATTCGATTTCGCGGCATCGAGACGAAAAATCGTTCGGAGTCAATGGCGGGCAAACGTTTTTCTTGAGGTCAGGTAGGATCGAGCATCGGGTACTGATGCTCCAAGTTTACGGCGCTGAGGAGTGCAGCTGCCACGACAAATGGTCGTACATCTGCTGAGACACGACTGAGAGAGGTTCGCATTCGCCGCAAAACTCGACAGAGTTTCCTACGTTTTCGGATCGTTTCTAGCAGGATTCATCTTCCAGTCTAGTCGAAATTAACACTTGAACGGACAAAAATACTCTATCCGTCCCCTCTATATTTCATGTTCTATTTTATGCAAACGTCAAATAATAGAAAATTATATCTATGAAGAGAGATTAAAATCATTTATAATTTATAGTGTTTTATAAAGGCATTCTAAGAATGATATATATGAAAATCTCGATTAGGTATATGCGCGACATCCGTGTCAATTATGGCCGAAGACAGGAGTAGGATGGCCAGAAGTCCTGAATCGACGCATTTTTCTTGACAGCTGCGCTACTGCGTTGATTTACTTTTCGGTACCAGAGACGACGAATCCTAGACGAAGAAAGAAAGTTAGCAGCTGCTCACAGTTTCCGATGCTGTATCGCAGGGTAAAAACTACAGCTTTTGTATACTTGTTCGATTGGTACAATGTCCTATTTATCTCGAGAACAACGGAAACATAATCATCCAACACCAACGCGACATCTAATTGTAAGCACAGAAAATTCACTGTCCACCTTTCGAGCGTGTTCCGTAAATAAAAATCGATAAGGGCACGAGGACGACGCAAGATGATATGCACGATCGCGTAATAATTCTCGCGTTATTCCAGTGAAATAGTGTAGCAGATTCAGGAACCGACGACGCTTTGACGATCAACATTCACCACATTTTGCGAATTCAGCGCATCGATTATGCAAAGTGCTGGTGTACAAACTCTTTCTATGTATAGACACGGGTTGACATAGTTTCACGAGCAACTGTAGTCGTTCGAGTCGACATAAGTCAATTTCAATGGTCCATAGTAAAATGGTGAAATTGGTAAAGTAGTTTTTTCAGTTTTGGTTTACATTTAGATGGATTTTTACGCAAAGTCGACTATCGGTAAATAAAAAATTGAACCTTGGAATTTATCTCCCTATTTTTTATGTAAATGTCAATCTCGACTTACACGTAACTCTCACGGAACCAATCTAGCGTGTAGGTAGAGGATTAGGTGTGCATAGCTAAAAATAAATCTTCATCCAAATACGTTCGATTGATCGCATGGTAGGTTTGCCAACGTAAACATCGAGGAGCTCCAAGTCCAACGGGACGACTTCGTTGCGTTTGTTTGGATGAGACTTACATAAAAATGTAACAACGACAAAAATAACACGCGATAGCCTTGATTCTCCCATGGAAATTCGTCGATGGAAAGGGAACACGTACGGCGTCAGACTACGACTATTTTAGTCGACCTTTTCTCGTATCGAGGAACATGCGCACGCATTTCACAAAGAACGACACCGCGCCGCGCCATGCACGATCACAGGTGTAAAGAGAAAGAAAGTTGAATACGAAGACTTTAGTCGGATGAAAGAAAAATCGGACCTTGCGCACTTGTGCCTAGCGATCGGAGAAGGATGACATCCAATATTCTTCCAGAAATATACAGGGTGATTCACCTTCGTCAGCGGTGGCGAACCTATATCTCTTCCCATATAGTAGCTATCTCCACGAGTCGTTTACTCTCTTCTTCGCGGCTCCTTTCGCGGTTCAACGAGACGCCTTTAAAACCAGCCGACGATAAACGTGCCATTAGCACTTCTGAAACTTCACGTTTCGGATCCATACCGTGTAACGAGAGTCGGCGTCGTCGAGTAGAGACGCGGCACCTTTGTACTTCGTTAATTACTTCTCAAAGCATGTGCAGCATTGTGCAACGCATAAAAGGCTCGCGATGAACATGATGCGTTCTCGGAAAAACCTCGCGAAATTGTATCGCATTCGAACCGCACCTGTAGCGTCTCTATGCGTACAAATATAAACACGCGTTACAATTTACCTACAGTTGAATAAAAATAAAAATGAAAATAACAATACTTTGTATACTATACGTGTATAATCGTTGTAAAGTTGCACGACATAGCTATTATTCATCCATTATTCGAATAAAACTCTGACTATCTCCGTCTCCGATGCAATTCTGGATCCATGGAAAACGATGTTGGCGATAACCGGTTTTGCGTGGAGACCGTATTGTTGCGCAATCTATTCGATGCGAATATACATTTTATATAGGCATTTTACGCGAGGCAACATCTTCCAAGAAATGTATCTTTCACGAATGCAATATTGTCTGTTGCGTCGCTCCTGTCTCCTCGTTAACACCAGGTTTTGCTGCATTTCATTGTGGTAATCTGACAATTCTCTCGTCGCGAGTTGCTCCGGAACTAGCTAATTTCAATGCACTTTACTATCAGCATGGGACAATAAGAGAGAGAGAGAGAGAGAGATATATCTTTAGAATAAGAGCGAAAACAGGGATATTTTATTCAATTACCTAGTATAATTTAACTTTAATAGTACTTTAGCGATATCTTTCTCACAACACTGTTAGATTCTGTTTACCCGAGTCTTCTATTCGCGATAAAAAAAATCATGCGTGTAACGAATGAGCAATAAAAATTAAAATAAACGGAAGACGCACGTGTCTTTTGCGTTAGAGTAAAGTTCATAAAAAGAAAGTCAAATTACTGATAATGCGAGGTGTACACGTAAAATCGAATGTATGTATGTAATTTATCAACGTGAAATTCACTTTTATGTAATAGTGTCGTCTCGACCATGAGCAAAGGAAATAAAAAATAAAAAAAAATTATGTTCGGTAAGATGGCAATTTATATTCAAGGTTTGCTTCTCCCTCTTTGTCAGCTGTTCTATTTACACAATAAATACTTGCAACAATGAAGTATGAAGGACGCACTGTCGTCACGTGGGAATCGAGTAATGCCATGATCGTGACACAGCATTGGTAAGTTATAGTAATTAATAATTTGATAATTAGCTGTTAATAGCATTTCAGTGTTTCTCGAGTTATTAATCTATACGAAACAAATTTGCATTCGAATGAAAAGTATACGTGTTTCTTTGTAAAAAAATCAGTGCGAAACTTTCACCTAAAATAATCGTTATCTTAATGTTAATATAGCTCCTGTAAAGTTGATATGCGAATTAATATTTACTGTAAACCGTAGATTGTAGCGATTTTTATAGTATTCGATAAACTGTCTAATTATAAGTGATATTTAAGCAGCGTAGGTCGGTAAATTATCTCTATCATTTAAACCGGTTTCGCTGTTGACGATGCCAGCGAAGGCATATGTATATCTATCGTCTTCCTCTATCTATCGCACGTGCGGTAAAAAAAAGCATCATTCAATCATATTCGTACTCGGATTTTCGTACACGGCCAAGATATTCTTCTAAAATTGTAATCCGGTAACTCTCACGGTAATGTTTTGATCCGCCTTCGGTCATGCAGGAAACGCATACGACGCCGACGCCGACGCATAGGAAACACGTGGAATCGATACTCCGATGTACAGGAAATGAATGCGAGAACAGATGTCGAGACACTACTTCCCTAAAGTGTACATTTCTTCAAAACAGAAAAAATGATTTTAGTTTAGGAAGTAGAGATTTCTATTCGAGTAATTTCACGTGTAGCATTGTGAACAAAAGGGGAAAATGAATTTTGGATTAGAGTAAGTACTTACTGAAGAATATCTGCAGGCAACGTAGTCGGGCGAAGATATGTCTGAAACAAAATAATTATATAATTAATTAATAATTTACTAATTAAACGTGTTCAAAGTAATAAAGAGTGAAACATTTTTATATAGATTAAAATATCTTGTGTATTACAGTTTGAGAACCGTTGATATAAGGTTTACCGAAGTGTGACGGTATGTACTTTACAAACATGTTTGCTCGGTAACATTCATATGCAATTACCAAGTCTAAGTACAAGTATGTGCCGACAGATTGTTCTAGTTTATCGGACAGTAGAAAGTAACTTTCGTAACAACATTGGCGTAGTTAAACAGTTGTGCATTACATCGTCTGATAATGTCACCGATTGTGAGATTGCTTCCTAATATACTCTCTGATATACGTATGTACATAGGTACTAGGTAGGCAACGTTTTACTACCATTTACATTAATTTATTTCAATCGCGCTTGTATTTCTTTATAAAATAGTGTCAATGCTTTTGTTGATAAGTAGGATTGTAGGCGTTACAATTCGATCGTTCGATATCGATACTGTCCCCTTTCTTTCGCCTGTTACAACTGTCGCGAATAGCCAAAAACATAATACAACTGCGGTATCCCTACCTCTCAACCCTCGAACCACGTGCATGCCCACACTCGAGTTAAAGTCTCGCGAGTTGAACGAGTGATTTCCATCGTTTGATTCGTTGCGATGTTTATCACAGCGCTTTTATTTATTAGGTACGTTTCATTATCACCTACGCGATTACCTCGAGTAAAATGTGTTTTAACCGGAAGCTTGAGACGCCGACATATACAATTAAAATAGACACGGTGAACGAATTTAGTATTCTTGGAACCTTTTAGTATTCTTGGTGGCTGTGAACGTGTTAATTTGAAATGCGTTTCGAGTTGACTCGATCAAGGGCGAAGCTCTGCGAGAAGAATCGTCGATTCATTACAAAGAAATCCCCAAACTACTTGGAGGTCTACGCGCCCCATAAAAATGCGCATGGTGCTTTATATCGGGCGAAGCGGTTCCCACGACACCCCGTGCGTCGAGTCTATGGGAAAGTTTTATTGGGGTGAAATTATACGTGTCCGTACACTCGCACAGATGGATCACCCTTCGTGTAGTTGATCGCGACGACAACTGTTCAACGACCCTTACACATCGACGCTACTGGCAACAAGTCCTCGACGAGTGCTGAATATTTAACACGATGTTAATTGCTGCCGCAGAACTATCAGACTCGACGCACAGTTGTCCCAAATCGTAAATACGCGATAGAAAATAGATTTGAAATAATCAATGGAGAAAACGAAAATTGAGCGGGAGGTAGGTCCACCATAAAATTACTTCAACTTCTACCCAGCTCAAGGTATGTATGTAAATCCGTAAGTTCCGATAAAACTTGCCTTTTTCACGGCGATACATGATTGTATCCATTATGTCAAACTACATGTCATCTCTTCAAATAGATAGTGTAATCACAAATTAATTATATGATTACATAGCGAAATTGGTTGGAAACAGTTTGAGACACTGTTTGCACGAAGAGTTCGAGGCATCGAATTAATTCCTTGGTTTGATATCACGCGGAGGCGTGGGGATAAAAGAAGAAAGAAGCCTGAACGGAAGCAAATATTATTTTGTTTGACTCGAGAAATCAAACGAAGGGGTACGCACGCAAAAACACTCCCGTATGCGTGCATGTACGCGAAAATTATCGCTCACTTTTGAAGAAAGTTAAACAATCTGCTGATAACGAGTAAATGACGGGCGTCCGTGTGGTGGATGCTAACATTAATTAGCCGTAATTGTAGATTGACACAGGTGTAGAAAATTACGTGACTATTTGGAGAACCGAAACCCACGTCGGAACATTCAAATTATTTTTCGCTGAATTTCGTGCCGTATATAAATCAGGAGAGAGTTCCATCGAGACAGTGTTTGTCCCGTGGAGCACCGAGTACGGACGAATAAAACATGGCGAAAGCCATTTTCGTCCTTTGCTGCCTTGTTGCGGCTGCAAGTGTAAGTGAACATTTATCCCTTTTAGGGTTTAGTGCTAGGGCCAACGACGCGAAGCGATACGGTGCCGCAGGTGAATTTAAAGTGGTCCTCGTCACTAAGGATTTACATTTTTTCTACAATTTTTTAACACCCTTTAAATTTGCGACACTCGATGAGAAAACGATTCCTTGACAATTTTAGACTGACTCTACATCGAGAAAGGTTTCAAGTTTTACTGACTTTACGTCCATGTCGGACAAAGTTGTTTCGTTATGATAACAGGATCAGTGAATATTTGTTAATCAAAGTATAATTGAAGTAGTAATTCTAATATTACATGAACATGGTAGACTGTATGCTCGCCTTTTGTTTCGAAAACAGAAATTTATAGACATGTCGAGAAAAACAAAAAAAAAATATATATATATACATTTTTTTTATTACTGCTTTTGGTAAACTGTCTTGTTATCAATTTCAGTATATTGGTTTTAAATAAGTTTTTTACTTAACGAATGTCTTAAAAATCATTCTTTCGAAACGAAATCATAAGCAGAAATATTTTGAACGAGAATTCAGGTGGAGTGTAGCAATGCGCTTCCGCATTTAACGCTATATTGACTGGTTTTATGAAGGAATTAATTTGGATGGAAGACAACGTTTCCAAGAAGCAAGCAGATAAAGTATATTCTCGGTAAACAACGAATAGATATGTGTCCCATGATAATTATATTTCAATCTGGAGCGAGACTATGTGATTTACTGCCTCGATATGATTACCTGCCATTTCAAATTGCTATATGAATTTATTTTCTTATGATGCACTCGACGCACTCATCCCAATTAAGAAAATAAGAATTAATAAGGAATTAACATTTGCTTATAGTTGAAGATTACAGAACTTGTCTGCTCAACGAAATACTTCGAATTTGCGACAGAAGCATTCTGGGTTAAGATTGTTATAATTACATTGTGTAGCGAATTCGCTGTTTTTGGGACTCAGTATTTACGTGTCTTTTTAATTCCGCCCTGCTTTATTTATTCATCTACCGGTACAAATCTTAACAGATATTTTAACAAAGAATTCTAGTAAAACTACTCGTACATTATGCATTTTTTCCACGTGCATATTTGGTAATCAGTTATTACGATTAACGTTTGTTGAATATGATTGGCCTTAATAGAAATCAATCATAGTCGGTGAACGAGATATTTATGATATATCTTTTGTACTGCAGACCGAGCTCGTTCCTCAGCTGAGCAACCAATGGTTTAATCCAGTAGGAAATGGTTTCAACATAAATTCAGCAATCAATACCATTAGAAAGGTAGTTGATGGTTCTTCCAAAGTAGTAGGATCAGTCGTTCAGGTTGCCTATGTACGGGTTGAAGAAATCCAAATCTACGCTAATCAAACGAATTATGAGGCAGTTATAAATATCACCGATATAATGGAAATCGTAAGAAAATAAAATATAATAAATTATTCGTTTTTAAAATAATGTGATGGATAAATATACTTAACAAATGATTGCATGGACTGCATGTAAATGCAGAACACCGAATTAATTTTTTGTAACCCCTTCTGTTCCTTTCTGTTTCTTCTTCAAAGTGAAATTGAAATCTCATTAAATTGTATTTCCAGATTCAGAAAAAAGTTATTGTATGGAAAGATGACGCAGATGGAGTTGATATCAGTAGCTGTACAATAAAGATAGAAAAAATACGAAAAACAGCAAACGAGATCGTTGATTGGAGCAGAAAATGTGTCTCGGAAACTGTAACCGCAGCAGTGAAATTTTTAGAAACAATAGAAGCAATTTCAAACAATGTTACCCGAGAACTTAATAATATTATAGACACCGCTGCGCAATGTGTCGAAGATGAGGTAGAAATTCTTCACATCATTGGTTGCATTAACACGGTAGGTACAATGAAAAAATAAAAATATGCACTTTAACAAACTACAGTAAATATTCAGACAAAAATATACAATATGTCATAGATACCAGACAAAAACTGTTAATATAATTAGAAGATCACAGTACAGTTAAAAAAAAATTAATCAACGAATAATAACAAATCAACACAGTTCTTAAATGAAACTCTAATACTAGTATGACCATTACACAGGCTATAAGAGACGCATATTGGTACGCAAATAACAACATTCCTCAGATCAAATCGGATATCGAGCAAATGATCAAGGAAATTAGGGAACTGAAACATTCAATACGGAGATGTTCTATAATTAGATATATACCTGAATTCCTAAAACTTCAAGCAGAAATATTAGAAGTTGTAGAAAGCTGTATCAAGGAAACATGTCAAGCACATAAGAGTAAGATACAATTTACAAAACAGATAATTTAAAAGAACAATAACAAAAATAAAAACATATAATTTTACAGAAACAACAACACAAGCGGTCGTTACACCTACGGAACAGGCTATCACAAGAACACCTAAAACGACTGCAACTGAAACTACCCAAACGGAAACCACTAGTTCTCCTGAAGGATCGCCCTCACAGGGTACAACAGCAGCAACAGAAACTACCCAAAAAACAGTAACTGGATCCCCCTCTCAGGGTACGACAGAACCAGGGCAATCTTCATCTACAGAAACCAGACAACCCACAGCCTCTAGTATTAGTCCAGGAGGTACAACAGAAAATACCCAAAAAACAGGATCTTCTTCCCAGGGTACGACAGTAACACCACAGCAGTCGTCTTCAGGAAGCAGTCAACCAACACCCTCTTACTCTACCGAAGGTAGTTCGACCGGAAGTAGTCAACCAACACCGTCTAGCTCTACCGAAGGTAGTTCGACCGAAAGTAGCCCACAACCAACACCGCCTAGCACTACCGAAGGTACTTCGACCG